ATAATCTCCGTTTCTCGTCATTTTCTATATAATAAAGTCTTTTTTTTTTTTTTTTTTTTTATAGAAGAAGGGGCAAACGAGCATGCGGCTCACCTGATGTTAAGTGACTACCGCCGCCCATGATCAACCGCAACACCAGGAGAATTGCGGGTGCGTTGCCGGCCCTTTAGAAAGGAGTAAGCTCTTTTCTTGAAGGTCCCCAGGTCGTATCGGTCCGGAAAAATCGCCGGTGGTAAACTATTCCACAGAGAGGTTGTACGTGGAAGAAAACTCCTTGTGAAACGTACAGTGGTGGACCGCCAAGCATCCAGATGGTGTGGATGGTATCGGGACGTTTGACGTGTAGTGCGTTCACGAAATTTGGCGGCTGGGATTAATCCGAACAATTCCTCAGAGCACTCCCCGTGATAGATGCGATAAAATACGCAAAGAGATGCAACATCTCTTCGCAGCGCCAGTGAATCGAGCCGATCGGAAAGCACTCGGTCGTCGACGATTCGAGCCGCTCTGCGCTGGATGCGGTCAAGTGGAAGAAGCTGGTACTGGGGAGCCCCAGCCCAGAGATGGGAACAGTATTCCATGTGCGGCCGAACCTGCGCCTTATAAAGTTGCAGGCGGTGTGCCGGCATGAAATACCTACTGTCCCGCTCTGCTGAGCACGCCAAGCTTTTTAGAGGCCAATTTGGCCTTCCCTTCCAAGTGACCACGAAACTGCACGTCACTCGATATGTCGACGCCGAGGATTCCGATACTGGCTGAGGCAACAAGGGGAGTGCCTTGAAACTGAGGGGATACGACAAAGGGGTTCTTTTTAGCGGTTAACGCGCAAACTTGTGTCTTCTGGGGGTTAAACTGGACTAGATTTAGTCGCCCCCAATCCGAGACTCTGTCCAGCAGAGACTCGACTTCAGACACAAGTTTGTCCCGGCACTCGGAGACGTTTTCCCGAGAAATATTGGCTCGGCCGGTGTAAAGAGCATCACCAGTGCTGTCATCTGCATAGCAATGAATGTTACGGGTATGCAACATGTCATTGATATGCAGAAGAAACAGCGTTGGCGATAGCACGCAGCCCTGTGGAACACCAGCATTAATAGGCTTGCAATCGGAGCTTGCACCGTCTACAACGACCTTGATGCTCCGATCTGCAAGAAAGCTGGTGATCCAATCGCACAATTTCTCGGGAAGCCCATAGGAAGGGAGCTTCGAAAGAAGCGCTTTGTGCCAAACCCGATCGAAGGCCTTCGCAATGTCCAAACTAACGGCCAATGCCTCCCCCTTGAACTCTACTGCCTCCGCCCATCTGTGAGTTAGGTAGACCAGAAGATCACCAGCTGACCGACCACGGCGAAAACCGTATTGGCGGTCACTAATCAGCTGGTGATCTTCAAGGTACCTCATGAGCTGGCAGTTTACAATGGACTCCATTGTTTTGGAGAACAAGGAGGTGATGGCGATTGGCCGGTAGTTGGACGGGTCAGAGCGGTCTCCTTTTTTAGGGATCGGGTGGACGTAAGCCGTCTTCCATGATTTTGGGACTACGCCTAGGGAGTAGGAGTACCGGAAAAGACGCGTTAAAACCGGTGCCAACTCTGGAGCACACGTCCTCAGCACAATTGGGGGGATTCCGTCAGGCCCACTCGACTTGTGGATGTCCAGGGAGAGGAGTGCTTTGCGAACCGAGCGCTGTGTGAAGTGCACTTCCGGCATGGAGCACTCACACCGCGGGATGGTCGGCGGAGTACTCCCCCGTCATCGAGAGTCGAGTTAGACGCAAAGAAAGAGCCTAGAAGATCGGCTTTCTCCTTTGCGGTATGGGCCAGTGAGTCGTCCTCCCTGTGCAGAGATGGAAGAGATGGCTGACAGAAATTCCCCTGGACAGCCTTGGCGAGAGACCAGAATGCACGGGTTCCAGAAGGAAGGCGAACTAGTTTCTCGCCAATTCTGCCTATGTGCTCTGACTTTGCCTTGGCAATGACTCTTTTGAAGGACCTAGAGGCGGAATTATACTTCTTTTTTAGAGCGCTGGTGTTTACATCCCGGGACGCTGATGCATCAGCCCAGGCTTGGTAGCACTCCTGCTTATAGCATGATGCTATTTTACAGGAGCGACCAAACCATGGCTGAGACTTGCCTCCAATGGGCACCACAGAGGAAGGAATAAAAAGTTCCATACCCTGAAGTACCACATCAGCGACAGAATCCGCAACAACGTTGGGATCATCCGGCGAGAAGCAAACCCGCCCCCAAGGGTAGGATGCAAAGAAAGACCGCATCCCATCCCAATCGGCTGACCTATAGTGCCAAACACGGCGGCAGCCTGCAGAATGCAACCGCGATTTCAGCGTGAGTGGCACCACACTCCGGACAAGACAATGGTCCGAGGAGCCTAAAGGGGCGTCGACGGAAATCTGATATCCGTCCGGGTGAGAGGTCAGCAGAAGGTCCAACAGGGAAGGTGCATGATCCTCCACATCTGGAATCCGCGTAGGCGAAGTAACCAATTGTGTCAGACCATATGCCAAGGCAAAATCATGAACAGATCTCCCCGCATGATCGGTTAAACGTGAACCAAGCCATTCGGCGTGATGGGCGTTAAAGTCGCCGAGGATCACGATCTCTGCGGAGGGGATCTGCTGTAGCAACGAATCTGCAGCCATTTGGACGTGGTCGAAGAGTCGGTCTGTTTCGGCATTACCGCTATGGGACCTATAGAGGCACCCGTAGACGCGCGGATGGTCGTCGCTGTCTACGCGTAGCCAAAGGATGGACAGGTCCGAACCTTCAAGTCTGCCGAGGCGTCGAGAGCAGATGTCCTCTCTGACGTAAACGCAAACTCCAGCCCGAGGCACAAAGGAGTGTTCCAGTTTGTACCCCGGGTAGGAGAGATACGAGACATCAGCCGGAGAGGACACCTGCGTCTCGGTTAGAAAGAGCAGAGCCGGCCTCGCCGTCTCGAGATGGTAGTGGACGGCGTTTAGGTTAGAGTGAAGTCCCCTGATATTGCAGAAATTCACGGACAGCGTGGCAGGGGTCGCCTTGGTCTTGTTGCTCCGTTTGCCCCGAGCAGTTGTAGTCTTGAGCGGAATTTTGCCCCCCCCAGAATACGCGGGGCAGCCTGAGCACCCACGCTCAGAAGTGGAGAAACATGGTCGTGGATGCTCAGCGAGGGATTCTCCAGGGGTGCTGGTACCCTCCTGGGGTAGTCGATCATTATTTAATTCCGCTACCATGTTGATGGGGGGGGATTTGGGCCTCCGGCCACCTGCACTCACCAGACGAAACGCGGAAGCAGAGCTTCCACTTCACGCCGGTATTCTGTGAGGTCGTGGTACCACCCCGGTTTGAGCCGGCCCATACGTGCAACAGCAAAGCTGCCGCGTGGCTCTACCACTGTTAAAAGTCATAAATTTATTATCACAAAACCAGCACGAATTGAGATTTCTGTCACGTAGAGTAAATGCGTAGCAACCTCTATATAAACCTTATCTTTTGTTTATGTTTAGACTAAATAAAGTATTTTTTTCTATTATTTTTTTATTATAAACTTAATAGAACATACATCAGAGGTATGCTCCTAATATATTCTATGTAAATTTAAATAAAAAATGGTCGCAATTGGCAGCCCCCCCCTTATCAATAAAATATTTGCTACCAATTCTCTTTTTTGTTTCATCTCAAAATTACGGCCTTTGCGCATTTTATTTCTCGTATTGTAAATTAATACTAAAGGTACTATTAAAAAAAATAGTCGATATATAACTTATAGAACTCAAATAGTTCTGTTAAATTTAAATTTTACTAAGAATTTTATACTTTCAACGCTCAGTAATTTCTGGATACAGTCCTCTACTACAGTTAGATGAATTTCTTATAATTACCACACTTGTCTCAAAGATTGGTGATATCAGTACTCAGTGCCGTACGTTAGCACGAACTCAGACCATGTTGCTGATAAATGTTATATCTGGCATTTACGAGACGATTTTACCGCCATCTATGTGAAGCAATGAGATTTGGTATTTCACATACTAGTCTCATACGATACCCGCCAGATGATTCGAGCGATATATTCTTTTTCGCCGTCAACCCACGATCATGCATTAATAATAAATAACTAAATATACAGATTTATTATATTTACGCGAACACTACACATTGATTAAAACTACTTTTATGGATTTTATCGCGTTTAATTTTAATTGATTTTAAATTCCCGCACCCATGGGTACTTTCCAGCACCCATGGTCCATGGTCACCCATGGTCAAAATTAAACGCGATAAAATCCGCAAAAGTAGTTTCAACTAAACATACTTTCCAAGTAATCAACTAAACATACTTTTCTAACCTAACTGAATGCAGTAATATTTCTAGGGGCTAATAGAAACTTCACAGGCCTGTCTATATAATTTAATGCATGATATGTAGATTCGCCATTGAATATCAGAAAACATCATACAAGCGTTTCTAAATCAATGTTGGGACAAATAGTTTAACAAAACTCCGTGATTTTTGACAATACGCGCACTTTATTTCAATCGCTCACATGCATTGTACATGTAGGTTATATAATAGACTCTGTACATATATATTATACTTAATATTTAGTTAAAATTTAATCATGTGATAACTTGTTAGTTTTCTAAGCATATGATGGAATACATGGAGATGGACATGGTGGTTGAGGCTGGTACAATGAAACGACCGCGCAGCCTGAAGTCCTAAAGCGCGATGGAGGGTTTGGTTGGAAGCAGATGATGGGTGGGCTCGGTACTGTAATCCTGGGAGGTGTCACAACTAGTAATTCTGTATCTGGTGGCTATATTGGGGGTGGCTGTACCTGAAATTTGATCATTAAATACTTCGTCTCTAAAGAGTAACATAATAAACATTCACATTGTATTAAGCATATTCATTTAAAATAATAAAAATTGTATTACAAAATTTAAATGAAAAAATTCATACTTCTTTTCATTTAAATTATGTTCTGTTATAAAGTTCATACTTTAATTGGAGCAGGCTTTGGTGGTTGAACCGGCGCCGGTTTAACAACAATCGAAGCAGGCCGAGGTAGATACACAGGCTTAGGCCTAACTTCAATTGGTGCTGGGGTTGGCGGTTGCACTAGGTCTGGCTTCACGTATATTGGAGCCGGGGCAGCTGGTTGAAATGGTGGTGGTTTTACCCAGATAGCAGGTAGTGTTGGCAGATGGATAGCTCCTGGTCTAACAGTTATTGAGGGAGGTGCCCGAAACCGAATTTGACTAGGTTTTAAGACCACTGAACCTGTAAATCATTAAGTTTTAGTTTTATTTTTTTAGAATGTATTACTTCATAATGAATTAAATTATTTTACTGAATTTAGATTATTTTTAAATTATTTAGTTTGTATGAAAATATATTATTCTTACCCTGGGGATGCCTGACCATACAAATATTTAACAGATGGATCAGAAGGATTGCAAGGACCGAAGTTTATCACTTCATTATCATCAGAACACGGAGGTGGGCATGGATGACAAGGATCACACAGATGTACTGGCTCATAGGGTTCACATGGAGGATATTCCCCCGAACGGAATTTGAGGATCTGGGTCAGGTATCGGTTGACTTAAAGGGGTCCCCAAAATAAGTGCTGCAAATTATTAAAATATAAATTTAAATAATATTTGAAAAAATCCAAAAGTGCACGCCTTCCACGCTTATTATATTATAAATTTATATTATTAGTGACTATAATTTTTACAAGAAAAAAAAACGAGAATCTGATCAATTGTCATTAATAACTTTTAAACGGTGTTGAGTTAAATAACAAAAACAATAGGGAGCGTCAAAATTTACCTTCTTATATTATAGCACTTTTTCATTGCCTGAAAACACGGACAAAATGACATTTTCTAAAAATGAATCCTAGCTAGATCAATTTATTGCCCTCGAAACCCCTGGACACAAAATTTTATGAAAATCGTTGGAGCCGTTTCCGAGATTGCTCGTTTAAGGGTATTAGATAATATCTCAATCTATTGCTTACATTTCTATTAAACGAGAAGACTCACCGACGCACAGAGCAAGGGACGGCAGTCCATATATATTTTCAATTACATTTTTGTTATGTAATTTAAAGTGAATTAATTATAAAATAAACTAATCTTATAATTAAGTATCTGTAATTATTGTAACTTTGGTAATAATATGGATTTGATGTCTAGCTAAAAGTACAAAAACGATTTTATGTAGTGAAATTGATGTGTGGCCACATATCGAGATAGGAGCACTCACTCACGTTGTGAGGCGTGCAATAAATAATTATTTGCTGTTAAGGATACGGGTATACTAATAGGAACAGACAGTAAGATCCTAAGGTCTCCGATTAATGGTCAATGAATCTGGCTTTGTGACAACAATGATTTTAGATCGAGATTTAAAGTTTGATAACTTTGTAAGGAACCTGTATGTCTAAAAAAATAAAATGTCGAGGATTAGTGAAGTTCACTAATGCACATGAAACAGCACAATGGACACTTTTTTGCTTCCATAACCTTCCAAAAACTGATTGAGATACGCATTAGATTATGATGGTAGTGGAGTTTTTAAAGAGTTTTTAATCTCCGAAATCTTCCCTGCATTGTGAGAGCATTGAAATAAGTCAAACATAAAATAAAAATATAAATAAGAATAGCTATAATTACCTGATAAGCAAATGATTTTACCCCACGCCATCTTGCGATCGTCTGATTTATCCAAATAAATTTTTCAATAGTTATACATAAAAATGTTTATTAATTTTAATATAATCAAACTTTATCGCAAATGTAGATTTTAAAATCAATAATGTAACACTAAAACTGGCATAATATTCAAGTATTTGAAAATATTTTTATCTTTAAATAAAATATACTGAAATGGTTTGAGGACATAACATAAAATATTTCTCCTTATTACCTTTATCAATTCATTACATTTGAATAGCATTTCATGCAAAGTTTATACTTTGATTAAATATCAAAACACAATAAGTTTTTACCGTGTAGTGATGGTGAAAAAACATCCACTAGCCCAGTGATTCCCAAAGTGGTCTGTATCGACCCCTAGGAGTCTATAACAACCTGCAAGGGGTCTACGTCAGCAAAAAAATTGGGTCCATGAAATGAAAATGGGGTCCACATTGGTGGTTCTCAACACATGACACTGATAGTATCTATATACTTACATCATCACTATCTTATAATATCAAAACATATACATTATTTATAAAAGATTTATTTCTTATTTTATATTTATTTAATGTTACGTATATTTTACATAACAGATACAAAATTTTATTTTGAGTAGTTTTAATTTAGATTCAATTGATAAATGTATAAATTAACATGTGTTTTTACTTTAAGTTTTTAACACTATACTTCACTACAGTTGAAAGTTACAGAAAATCAATATCGTTTAGGGGTTCTACCCAACAGGAAAAACATGGCAAGGGGTCTACAACTCTAAAAAGGTTTGGGGAACTCTGCACTGGCCTATATCATCCCGTGAGTGTCACAAGAGGCGACAGAGGGCGAAATCAGGAGATGGGTAGCAGTGTCTTCCTAATAACGACTTAAAATAAAAATTAATATGAAAATTTTTTGTTGAACTGGCTTAGTAAAGCATTAAGTTATAAATGTTTCTGTAATTCCTTGACGTGTTTTATTAGTTGTAATTTACCAAACCTATATTTTTATTCACA